GTGTGATCAGGGGTAGGCAAGGGGAAAGCTGAGATACAAGGAAAGGGTGAAGTTATTAGCCACAGTCATGTGGATTTGGCATCTAAGAAGGAGACAGAGCAGATATGAGATGAGAGACAGCATCAAAGTCAGGACCCAAGGCAACAGTTACTGTAGGGGTTCCTATAAAGAGTGCCTATAGCTGTAATATGAGGAGCAGATAGAAGATGAGAGAGAGGTGAGGAGGATATGAGACTCTGCAGGTTGTGTGAGGAGCAGTGCATATCTAGTAATTTTTAGAGGTTCTCTAAGGATTAAAACTGCAGCAGCCATTCATAGGCCAGCTGGCCAACCTGAGACAGTGGGATCCAGTTGTTTGAATAGAAAAGCAAGTGGGCATGGGTTTGGCCCATGGGCCAGAATGGTGACTGCACAGCCACCATGTTCTAAGTTATATAGGCAGAATGGTTGAGTGCAGTTTGGCAAAGCCAGGGCTGGAGCCATTCTTAGACCTTTTCCTACAGTGTAGAAGAAAAAGTGAAGAAAGTTCTTGCGATCTAAATGTTCAGCTGTATTCTCTTTTGTAAGCTTGTATGATGGTTTGGTAAGTAGGACAAGCCAGGAACCCAGAGATAGAAGCATCCCACCACCCCAAGCAAGGAGAGAAGTTGCCGATTTGTGGAAGGGTGGGAATCTGAGAAATTAGTTGGATAGGTTTGGGAGGAAGAGCGCCAGTGTGTTGGTATAGAATAACACCCAGACAAGTGACAGGTGGAGAGGAGATTTGAACCTGGATGGAGACACATGGTAACCCTTTGTGTCTAAGTGTTGTAGGAGTAGGACAGTATCCCATCAGGAAAATTAGTAAGAGGAGATCATCTACATATTGTATGAAGTGGAATCAGATGGGTGGAAGGAAAGCAAATCACAGGAAAGGGCCCCGTCAAAATAGTAAGAGTCCATCTCTGAAACTTTGTGGGAAGATAGCCCAGTTCAGCTGTTGGGACTGGTGAGCATCAGGGTCTCTCCAGGTAAAGGTGAAGAGAGGCAGTGAGAAGGATGTAAGTGAATGGTGAAGAAAACATCCTTCAAATCTAGGACTGGTTAATAGGTCGTGGATTGGGAGAGATAAGATAAAAGTGTATGGGTTGAGAACTATAAGGTGGTTAGCAAGGACTATCTGGTTGATACCACGGAGGTCCTGGATCAGTCTGTATGTGATGTGTCTTTCAAACAGGGAGAACGGGAGTGTTACATGGAGAGTTGATAGGCACCAGAAGACTGCGTGGAAGCATGCAAGAGATAATTGACTTTAGTCCCCTCAGAGTCTGATCAGAGACTGGGTGTTGGTGCTGGGAGGGGATAGGAGTGATCTGGCTTTAGTGGGATGGTGAGAGGTGCTTGATTGAGAGGCAGAGAAGGAAAGGAGGTACCCAGACCCTAGAGTTTAGATCTCAGGATACAGTAGGGACTTTGGGTGAGGACAGAGACAAAAAAAAGTGTGTGATGAAAAAACAGGACAAATGCTGGGAATGGTGAGAGTGACAGATAATTCGGCTAGGTTATCTTGTCCAAGGAGTGGGGTGAGCAGGTAGGAATGACTAGAAAGGAGTGGGAGAAAAATCATTGACCTAAGTAGCACCAAAGTAGAGGAGTTTTGAAAGGCCTGGAGACTTCACCATCAATATCCACAGTAGACATTGAGGCCAAGGAAACTGGTCCTTGGAAAAAAGGTAAGGTGAAGTGGAGTGCCTAGTCCTAGATTTGAAGGAGCTTTCTTCAGCATTCACTTACATCCTTCTCACTGCCTCCCTTCACCTTTACCTGGAGACCTCCTAATGCTCACCAGTCCCAACAGCTGAACTGGGCTGTCTTCCCACAAGGTTTCAGAGACAGACCCCTACTATTCTGACCGGGCCCTTGCCTGTGATTTGCTTTCCTTCCACCCATCACTGCCCATCACAAAATATATGAACTTACCCTCCTGAAATGGTCCAGGGGCCTCCAAAGCTTGTGGGCAACATCAATCATCCATTGCCAGTTGAGTAAATCTGGGAGAGAACCAGGAGGGGGACCCTGAGGGCTGCCTCCAGGGGTGGTAGGCACCAAACTGCAGTCCAGATTGAGCTTGGGGCAGAGTCAGAGGGTAAGGAGGAGGTTTTGATTCAAAGGGAAGCTCCAGATAGATAGATGGAACAAATTTCAAATCAATCAGAGGATCTCCATGAGGTTGTAGCTCACTTGCACCAGCTATGGCTGTCTGTGCTGCTGGAGGAGCAAGGGGCATGGGAAACTGCTCAGCTGGGAGGAGGTCAGGGGGGAAAGTGAGATCAGCAGGGTCCTTGCTCAGGGAGGAATTGGCGTGGGAGGAAATGGAGGGGATGTGGACAGAAGGGAAAGGAGGAGAATTTGGGAGGGATTGTATGAAGAACACAGAGCAGTAATACTTCCGAGTGTAAGGAAGTCCCAGACTGGATGGAAGCCACTACAGAACACTTCTTTAGCTTATGGCAGTAATTATCCATCCACATCTCACAAAATAGAAATATCAAATGTAGCATGGACAGGCCACTGAAATTTATTGTCCAGCTCGTAGTGTGGCCACACTGTTATAGAAAAAAAATAAGCCATTTGGGTTTTAGGTCAGGAGAGATAAGGAAGGTCTGAGATTCCCTTCTTCTTCCCTCAGTTTGATGGTCTATATGCCAGTCATCTTCACAGACACAGGCAGTGTGTGTCTCCTGCTCTGCTAATGTGCTACATGTTTCTTAATCCGGTAAAGTTGTTAGATCGTGATTAACGGTCATGGGTGAGCCTAGAGATAGAACCTACGGAAAAGCAGTGGGCACTCATGGACAGGCACCAATGGTAACTGTACTTCAATGACCTCATTCAATCCCTGCCATTCAATTTAAAAAAGAATGCAGCATCTATTGCACAGCGGAAGTCTGAAGGTGTAGAGACAGAGGAAGCCCTGCTGTGTGGACTGCAGAGTCCAACTCCTCCATTTGCCTCAAGCCTCAGGGGTGGGGGAGCAGAGAAGGTAAAGGTTCCTGGTGCGAGGTTGAGGCAGGGATGTTTCTTCAGTAAACTCAGTTGTGAAGAATATGGAAGAAGAAGAAACAAGAGATTTTACAGAGTCGCTCTTCCTCCAGCCCACTCTATGTCAGACCCAGGCCAAGCACGGACACACCAAGATGTCAGTGAGGCTGCCAGAGGAAAGCAATTCTGTTTGCTTTTGAGGCACACAATCTTGCATCACCTTTTAATGTTCTGTTTTCAAGCATTTCTTGACATTGTGTGGTGTGTCTGCTAGACAGTATTGTATTCCCCACTGTTCTGCTCACTCTATGATCTTGTGTTCTTCCCATCATTCTGTCAAACTGTGAATATCTTTTTTACTAGTGTCTTTTTGATTTTAAAGAATAAGAAAACTAATAAAAATGATACACAATTTCAAAACAAGATGATAGGAAATTAACAATGGCTATTATATTGCATATTGTTATCTTCAAAGTAGTTGCCCAGATTACCAGATATAGGCATGCAAAATTGATCAAACATTATAAGCACTAACCCTTTCAGTGAACTAATTAGTAGTACAATTATAGAAATTAGTAGTACAATTATACTAGCTATCTTGTGTGTATATATATATTTTTTTCCCTTTCTTCTTTTCTCCTTTCTCCTATCCCAGTTGTTCTTTCCTTTTGAGCAGTATCTTTCCATTTCACAATATCTATTGTACCCTTTGGATCTTATTTACTCTTCCAGTTTATTACACTAGGAAGACAGTATGATATTTACACATGCGGGTTTGATTTATTTCACTCATGAGTATAGAATCCTAGGGCAGAAATGCCTTAGTGTTACCCATTGGAACGGGAATGCAAATATTCATTGGAAGCATAAGTACCACAAAATAAAGTACTAAGGGACAGGGCTCCCTCTCTCTCTCTGTCTCTCTCTCTCTCTGTCTCTTTCTCTCTTCCTCTCTCTCTCTCTCCCCTCCCTAATTAAAAAAGTGAGTCATAAGGAAAGCAGTTATTATACTAAATCATTTAAAGCAGTGATTTTCAGTCTGAAGAAATCAGCAAGCTTCTATTTCTCTAGGCTGATGGCCAGGTCTTTAAAACATTTTCGTTATGGTAATATTTTTTAACCATATTTGCTATAATAAGATTTGACCTTAATTTGTTCTTTTACCAAAATTCAAGTCAACAAACTACAGTATAAAATGCTAGAGAAAACCGGTCAAAAGGAAATGGAGACAACCTTCTCTAAAACTCCATTCCTAGATGCTTAAACCACATGCACAATATACATAGTTGGAGACATGGGAAGACCCTATAGAAAAATGTACTACTTCTTTTCATGATTTATAATGGATCGACATATATGTTATATGAAACACTCTATCTGAGATGTCCCAAAGTAAAGAAACCGATCTAGCTTCAGTCATTCAGCACTTCTCAGCTCCTTTGTGTCAAGCATCAAGGGCCATACTCATAAATCCAGCTTTTCAGTAAGACAGCAGGAATTTTGACCTACTGACTTCCCTTACACAAGTGAAAAGGAAGCTGGAGATAACATGGGGTAGTGCAACACATTCTTGACTTTGGAATTAGCATGACCTGGCCCTGCATTCCTACTCTACTACATAGCATGGCACAGGCAAGTTCATTGACTTCTCAGCACCCTGTCCTCTTTCAATAAATATTAATATTTTTCCTTTATAGTACAGGGCATGGAAACCAGGACTTCGTACATGCTAAACAAGTACTCTATTGCCAAGCTACATCTCTGACTCTCAGTAAGAATTTTTTGAACTTCTCCTATGTAAAATGCCTAGCTCTAATTACTAAAGATCTATTGGTACATGAAAAAAGAATGAAACACCTGCTATAAAACTGAGATTAAAAATACCAACATCATAGCTAACTGGAGGGTTAAATGGAGAGAGAGTTTTGATGTTCTGATCATGTTGTTGTTCTTAATCTTGTAAACCAAACAAAAATTACCAATTCTTAAAGGAGTCCACAATCTTATTCAATAGAAAAAGTTGGGCTGGTACAGGTATAATCTCTCGATTTTCCCCATGCCACAGAATCTTCCTTGTATTGTCCAGTTCTCCAGACGTTTCTTACCAAAAGCTGCAAATTGCTGTACCTGCACTCAGAGATCAAGAGGGAAAAGAACATACAGCACTTCTAGTGAGCCAAGAGAAGATATTTGGAGAAAAAAGCTCAACTGAAAGAACAAACTTTGACAAACAAGAATCTAAGTAGATATATGAGCAGTTGAAAGGAAAGAGCTACAGAAACAAACGTTACCTTAAGAAACAAGTTGAAGATAATCACTTTTTCTTGACTGGATTTCTTCCCGAATGCCAATTGTGAATTTTCAACTTATTTTTAAAAGTCTTCCCCTGAGGCATTTTAAGGACCCAATTATGACTCCCCAAAACCTGTATCTTACCTGCCTTTTGAAACCAGTTCCTCCTCTAAGCTGTGCACCATATTAATGAAACTCCACCAAGCAAAATCATCTGAGCAGCCAGTAAGCTCACCACTCTTCCCCTTTCTTCCTTGACTGCAGCAATAATAACATAAGAAAGAGTTAAAATATGTCATACGTGAGTCATTTTGGACAAGGAGTTAACATATGGTCCAGCAGTTCCACTTCTTAGTGTTTACCCCCCCCAAAAAATAAAAATACACATCCACACAAAAACTTACATGAAAATGTTAATATCAGCATTATTCATAATATCAGAAAAATTAAATAATGCAGATGCCCATAAACTGATGAATAAATAAAGAAAATGAGTTATACCGTAACAGTGGACTATTACTCACAATAAATGGATTGGGTTACTGACAAATGCTGAAAGTTGGATGAACTTTGTAAATATTATGCTAAGTGGGAGAAGCTAGACAGAAAAGGCCACATAGTATATAACTTTACTTGTATGAAATGACTTTATTTGTATTTACTTGTAGGAAAAACTCATATAGATTAGTGATTGCCTGGGGGTGGGAAGGATGAGGATTTAGTAATGACTGCTAAAGAATAGAGTGTTCTTTTTGGGAGGTTGAAAATGTTCTGAAATGTTCTAAAATCTGATGGTTGCGCAATTCTCTGAATGTACTAAAATCCCTGAACTTATACACCTTAAGAAGTAAGTTTTATGACATGTGATTACATCTCACATAAAAAAGCTGTTATTTTTCAAAATCTATGGCATGTATATAGCACTCCATAGCTCCCAAAGCTCTAAGTTTTGTCAAGTGTATATTAGCTAAAGTGCTCAGAATTCAATAAGTCCACTTCCTTCCCTGTATTTGCCTTAAAAGCAGTCCATTTGGAGGAATTATTAGCTGGATTTTAGAAACTGCAGAGCTTTTTGAGCACAGCACTAGAAATCACTCACATGTTTAGCGTAAAGAAATAAGGTCACAGAAATTCTTCTTAAAGATAAATAACAATGATACAAGAATTTGAGAAAAGAAAGTATTTGATTCTAAACTGTGATCATTTATCAAAAGTGAGAGTCAATCCTGAAAATTTTCTAAGTGTAATAATGGGCCTGTTAGCAATGCAGAGATAAAAGGATGAGGTAAGAGGCAATGTCAACAATCTCCCAATCTGAGATTAGTGTTAAAAGCACTTGTGTGCAAAATTGCTGTAAACTTCAAATTAATTCCAAGGTATTAATTTCCAAGTGCTCTGAGCTACACTGAGTCTGGGAGACAGACTTTAGTTGGCAGCTGAGCCAGCTGGATTCAATTACTCATTTCTTTTTTTTTTCAGTTAAGCTACCAATATTTTTTTTTTAAAAGGAGGGAGTATTTTGATAAGTTATTTTAAGTTGATTTTTTATTTTGCATCTAAGAAATTGACATTCTAGTGCTTAGTAACTTCTGTCCTTATTTGAAGCAGAGTTTCATCCTCGCTCCAAGGCAATATTTGTACAGGAGGTGGAGAGACAGAGAAAGTAAACCAGACATGAAGAGGCTCTGCCAGTCAGAACAAGGGGGAGGAAATTTGGAAAGCTTCACTGAAAATAAAGCACACAATCCCACTCTTCTCAGGCTTATTGATGAAGCTAGAATTAGAAAATGAGAATGAAAGTATACAAAAAAAAGCAAAGTAAAATATCTTCAGTGTGCTACATAATACTGATGACACTTTGCAATAACTAATGTACAATAGCATAGTTATTACTTATGTGACAATCGCTATACTATGATGTATTGATAGAGTAACAGTAACTACATTTCTAATATCACCACGTGCTAGGCACAGTTTCCACATGTGACCTTCATTATTCCCAGTTTGAAGATAAGGAAATTAAGGTACGTTGACTTTATGTAACTGACCAGGGACATAGAATTAGGAAGTATTTTCTTAATTTCTGCATCAGTTGCCAAAACCCATTTCCTTATGCCTGGCTTGAGATACTAATTTATGGACATTTTAATGGCAATGGAGTTTTTGGCCCAAAATGTAAATCTTTTGCAATTTAAAGGTGGTTTCTCTAATTAATGGCATTTAATTAGAAATCTCTGAGGCTCTAGAAGTTGTCAAAACCTAAAAAGAACCTAATCAGAAAAATGAGTCAAATATTTATTCAGTGATATGGTGGAGTGTCTGTATTCATTCATACATGCACTTATTTATTTATTCAAGAAACAATTACCAAATCTCTACAACATGCCAACAGTGAAAACATCATCACAAAGTCATAGTCCTGGGGGAGAGGAACTGAACTTTCAACCCAATAATCCAAAAACAGTTTTAAAAAAACAACTAATACTTACAATATAGTATGCATGAAAAGTGCTTTAACATGCTTATTGTATATTAAATACTTTTTAAGTTAGGGAGAAACCCAAATCCATCTTAAATATTTGTCTAAAATATCCAAAACACATTGCAAAAAGAAATATTTTCCAGTACTAGGGATTGAACTCAGGGCTTTCACACCAAGTTATACAGTCCTTTTTTCTTATCTTCACATTTTGAGACAGGGTCTTAGTAAGTAATTACATTGCCCAAGCTAGGCTTGAACTTGTGATTCTCCTGCTTCAGCCTTTCAGAGTCCTGGGATTATAGGCATACAAAGCACTGTAAATTTTAAGAGTGAAGAGCTCATGTTAAGTGGACTGACACTTTATGTTGGAACCTGTACTAAGTACAATATACATTTTAGCATGTTTAACCCTTGCAACACCCCAGCACACTATGTTCTATGATCATCTCTGTTTGATAGGAGAGGAAAATGAAGTTCAGAGAGATTATGTAACTTGCCCAAGGTAACAAAGCTGGTAGTTATGAAGTTGTCACTCTCTGTTCAATTTTATAATAGTAAATATATTGGCCTAGAGACTTCTGGAAAGATGGCAGAGTGGTGGGGAGCAGAAAGAGCCTCTGCAAGATTTGGTGTCCAGACACTTGAATATAGAAATATGAAAAAAACAAGAAAGAGGGAAGTGGGTTCCCAGGATCTGGGAAGGATCTGAAGGAAGAACTTCAGCCCACAGAGAGAATGAAGAGAGAGACTTCAACAAAGAAGAAGGAGGAACCAGGCAGCACTTACTTCCTGAGCCTGTACTCACTGCATGGGAGGGGAAGTTCAAACCTGGTGACTACTAGTGACTTCAAAGGCCTCCACATAGAAACATACCAGAAGAATGAAGCAGTGAACATAGCAGATTGCAGTCACTGGTGAGTTGTTTGGGTTCAGATGCTCCCCAGAAGATGGCAATTGGCCAGTACCATCTTGGAGAGGAGCCAATGATATCAGCACTCAGAACAACTGTGGGCTGGCTCCATCTAGTGGCTCCCAGTGACAGGATGAGGCCGCTGAGTTCAAGTCGGAGGTCAGGGAGTCAAGTTCAAACTGGCAAAGAGCCAAGCTCAAGCTGGCAAGAGGCCCACAGAGTGTTACAGGCTGAACAAATTGGGTTCCAGCCTCACAGCCAGAAAGCAACCTAAACTTCATTGGAACTAAGGGTACAGCTTTGCTAGGCTCACCCACTACCCCACCATAAAACTACAGCTGGCTTGCTGGAATTAATCAGCTTGGATCTGGACTCTGTCTGCCCATGTTGTCTATCAGTAACAGCAGAGACTTGCCTTGAAGTGGGCAATTTTTTTTCCTATTTTCTTCTCTTTTTTTCTTTTCTTACTTTTGTTTTGTATTTTTTTTTATTATTTGTTCTTGCTTTTAAATGAGTCTGAACAGTTTCTAGTTTTCCCTGTTGTTGTTTTCCTGTTCTGTTCTTGTTTTTGTTTTTTCCTTCTCTCTTTGCCTCCTGTCTTCTTCACCAGTTTCTCAAAGTTTGCAAAATCTTCCTTTGTCCTCTACTTTGCTTCTAAGCTCTTCTTCTTCTATCTCTCTGTTTTTCCCCATAACCCTTTTAAATTTTCTCCTAGAGGGAAAAATTGGCATATTGAGGCCTTACATATTATTTTCAGGGTCATTTTTGATTTTGTTTTATAACTACAACTCTAGTTCATACTGTTAGAGGTGGCAAATTAATAGTTACAACAGTTTGTCATTTTCTAGGCTGTGTTGTGTACTATTGTTATTGCTTATTGCACTACTTTAGCCAATGTGGCATAATCACTGTAATCGGTAGTGCTTGGTGTACTAAGACTGAAATTGCCTAAAGGTGATAAATAATACTAATAGGTCAGTGCCAAAGAACCAGGGGCTAGGCCAAGAAGGCACCAATTTCTCTTTCTAATAAATTGAAGAAGTAGTATCTTGAAACACTCAAAACCCAAAAGCTGGGCTAGGGATTTAGCTCAGCATCACAGCACCTTCATGGCAAGTGCAAGGTCGTGAGTTTGATTCCTAGTACCAGGAAAAAAAAAATCATAGAAGACAATTCTTAGAAGTAGTAATTTCCTAAGTTTTCTAAATGCTAGCAATACAGTTATTCACAATAAGCAATTTACAAGATTTAACCTAGAAGTTAAACTAAAAAAATAGAAAATGAGGAGACACTTTAACACGATGCAACTCCAGACTCTCAGTTCACCAAAGGCAAACCCAGGGGGCAACGAGGTGGAACAATTCAAAAGTCAAACAACTGGACTCTATGAAGTGACAACAACAGAAGTAACAAAGCACATGAAAGAGGTGCTAAAGAAACTCAAATCAGAAATAATTTCTTAGATAACTACAGAGATTGTGGTCATAATGAAAAACACACTTACTGACTCTAGAGTAGGACAGATTTTTTAAAATAAAGCTTAGGAAAATAGCAGAAAACATGAATGCCCAACATAGGAAAGAAATGGAATCCATGAAATAGATTCAAACAGATATCCAAGAGACTTAAAATTCCACAGCAGAATGAGCTAATGTAAGGGCAGAATATCAGATATAGAAGACAGGATTTCAATTAGCAATCATGAAAGGAAAGATGTCTTAAAAACAGCAAAGGACCATAAGAAATCAATCCAGCAGCTGCCAAGTGATGCAAAGAATAATAGCATAAGATTGATCAGAGTAAATGAAAAAGCAGGAGACAGTGCAAATAACATAAAAAAATCTGTTCACAAAAGTAAAAGTAGAA